GAGTATACGCATACCGTGTTTCTGGTGAGTGGTGTTTGGTGGCTGTTATGCGATGCCGGCAAATTCCGCACCTTCCTCTGTTGGAAAGGGTTCTTTGGAATGAAGCAACATGATTGTACTGACTGTCTTGCAAGATTCATGGTTGGCCCGATCTATCGATGGGATGGAGGTATCAGATTCCTCTCTTAGTCGACATGGGGATGCGGGTTGTTGCGCCGGACATGATGGGATACGGTGGGACGGTAAGGCGAACCCAGAGGTCTCGCGACTCGGGGGGAATGACCGAAGCTGAGATGTTCAGGATGCTCCTAAAGTTCCGCCAAACTCCATCAAGTTGTATGGGCTCAAGCGAGCGTCAGATGATATTGCTGCGCTGGCCAAAGAAGTCAATGCGCCGCAGATCATTCTTGGTGGTCATGACTGGTAGGTGTCTGCTGTATGTATGCATCGAGAGATTCGTCTACTAACACCTTGCTCAGGGGAGGTTTCGTCGTCTGGCGAGCTGCTCAGTGGTAAGTCCCCGGGCATGTTGACTACCATATACGGTACCAACTCACTACCCCCACAGGTACCCCAAGCTCATCACACACGTCTTCTCAGTTTGCACACCATATACCGCTCCTTCCGACAAGTACTTCTCCACCGAAGATCTGGTCAAAGGTCCATTACCCCAATTCGCCTACCAGATTCATCTCGCTTCGGGCGAAGTGGAAAAGAGCGTCAACGATGAGCAGTCGATCAGGCAATTCCTGAGCGGCATGTATGGAGCCAAGGGACCAAACGGCGAGGTCACGTTCGTTCCCGAGAAGGGAATACTGGTCGAAAACTTGCCAAAGATCGGTGAGAGCAAGATTCTGAATGGAAAGGTACGTGATGATCTCTTATGCTGGAACGCGTGTCGAGTACGGGATCGAAGGAAACAAAACTGGATGATTGCCGTGAGAGACAAATGTGTTACCTTTTGAGGGGATGCTATGGGGTGGTTACGTCGCTCGACAGAGGCATTACCACTTCCGACATATCATGCATGAGGCGGCAAAGGGTTCCAAAAGATCGACTCGGCTCGACATCGAGATCGTCCCGTGTGAGACACACATCAAGATCGATATACTGCATCATTTTGTTTCAGGAAGACAGCTGAAGGATTTGCCAACAAGCGATGGTGTACTAACAGCGAATCAGTACCTAGACTACTACGTCAAGCAGTATCTCAACCACGGGATTCACCCCACATGTGAGTCCTCCCTCCCCAACCTACCACTCATCCACGATACATCTACCCATATCTGCACACCACTTCAAGCTCAGCCACTAACCCCTCAACCCAGTAAACTGGTATCGCCAACGCCGCACGAACTGGGAAGAAGACCAAGCGCTGCTCGACAAGAAGATAATCAATCAACCTGTCCTCTTTATCCAAGCCACGCATGACGGCGTGCTAAAGCCCGCAATGGCAAAGAGCATGGATAATTTCATTCCTAAGCTTACGAAGGGAGAGGTGGAGGCTGCGCATTGGGCGTTGATCCAGAAGCCAGAGGAGACGAATGCTATTATCCGCCAATGGCTTGAGGCGGAGGGGTTGGTAGGGAAGAAGAAGCGGGAGAGTAGTTTGTAGGAAGGGGGTTAGAGACACGGAATGTTGGAGGTCTTGGGATAATAATTGACCCGTCTCTTGAGCAAGTTTGTCTATCTTGGAGTACCCAAAATCTCACCATGCTGCCCAGCGAGCAGTGTATGCATGCCTGATTACTTTCTCCTACCCGTCGACCGAGAACGGCATATCATAGTTTACCGGGTACGAACTGACAGGCGATGGAGATTGCGGCTCTATCCGTGCTGGTGGCCTGACATGTGCCTCATGGCTTCCTTGTCCACGCAGCGATATCGCATTGCGCTAGACAAGCACGCGGAATCCTTTGCACTTCTCCGATGTGGAGTCGAAGCTGCCCGTTGAGTCTTGACTATAGCTTGTCCAAGATAGCGGACCTTGATACGAATTTGACGGTTACTAGAGACGGTACTTGATCGGTAAACGCAGGTGTGCGTCAGCGTACAGATGCGTTGTCTCGTTGAGACACGTCTTGACGCCGATACTCATCATCGACTACAAAGGATGCCGTGGCGGCACGTTGTGTGGATACATGATCTGCATCTTTTGCCTGATGCACAGGTACCTGCGGGCCATCAGCACACCACCGACTCAGTTCTTCCTCTTTATTTCACATAGTTCTGCTTCGCTTACGATCAACGGCAATTGTCAAGTACCTATAGCTCAAAAGTGAAGCGTGAGATGTGTGGTGGTATCTCGGTATCTCCGGAGGTTCTAACCATAAAAGTACCGGCAAAAGTAGTAGTAGATACGCCGCCTTGGAATTTTGGCACCGGGTTGTTCCTCTGGACTCTTGTCCCGCCTTGACTCAGGTCTGCGGATTAGCGCTTCTTGATATTCTTCCACGCGAACTTCATGGGCAAGAAGATACTTTGGTGACAGAGTGCTCGAGACTTTCCTGGTAAACTGTTTTGAGATTATGGCGGATGCAGGTCCCCTCCGTCCGTGCGCAATCCGGAGTTTTGGTACCCACTGCGTAATACAGCCAGTCAGGAAGCGGCGTTGTGCATTGTGGCAACCTCGTGGCCCTGAGTAGGTTGCGACATGCAATGCTTTTTTTGCGACAACATGTCGATACGGAGAGGGGCTTCCGCAACCTCCGCAGCTTGTTTTGGGCGGGGTGCGCGATAGGGGAAACGGTACCTCTACATCCGACAGACCGCCTGTCTGAGGAATACGTATCCTTAAGCCCGGGGTCATGGTGGTTGGATACTGTGGCGTAGGCAGCTTTGAAGGGAAGCGAGTAAGGTGAAATTGCTCACCGCCGCGGCACCGTCGTGCAAGCGCTTGACATATATTCGACGTAGATCGCGAAAACGTGCTCATGCTCAGGTTGACAAAGGGTTACAGGAAACTCTCAAACTGGGTATGATGGTCTTCGCTCACCGCCTACTGCTTTCAGAGGGCCATGCATGAGGGTCGTGGAGTCGGTCGCTTGGTGGAGCGACATCCCGGTGTTCTTTTACGTTCATGGACAGGGTCTATAGTAGCGTTGAATATACCTGGGGCGTTGAGGTAGACGCATGCGCAGTGCGAACGAGAAGTACCTTGCTTATCAGTAGGGCCATTATTCTATTGCATCTCGTAGCTCGTCGCGCCGGAGCTGGGAGCGCACTGGCTGGATAGGTACATTAGGTATACTCGTTAGTCGAGTCCTGGGCGCATCCTGGTGTGCAAAGAAGTTAATCTCAACACTGCTGGGCATGCTCGGATCCACCATGGTGCTCTGCCGTGCAACGTTTGATGGAACATAGATCGAGTGGCCGTCAACGTTTGTTTTGCCGTCCCGCTGCTGCAGTTTGCTCGGCAGCATGCCAGACGACAGTGGTTGTCGAATGGGAGAGCAGGTCGGGCGGTCGGAGAGATACGTAAACGCTTGTTGCGGGTCGGCTTAGTAACGACATCTCATCTTGCTCGTGGCCGCTTCCCTGTCAAGTGCTGGGCCTGCCATGTACCCGCGATCACCGTTGTTCCTCCGAATCCTTCACCACCGACACTCGACCTCATTTCTCGGTCGAGATGGTAGATCTGGGACGGCATTGCAGCGCGCTACCGGTGCTTCTTCGCCATTGTCATGCAGATGCTGGCACATGTCAATTTCCATGGCTTCTTGGTGGCCACACCTCGGTCAAAGGTGCAGCTGTTGACTATTAGCTATCCCTTGGGCCAGTCGTTCGTGCAGTTGGCGTTGAGGTCGCTCCGATAAGAGGCCCTTGTACTTTCTTGTCCCGGCAGTTCGGTCGCGCGTAGGACGAATTTCGTCAATGGGCTGCTCGGTAGCCAAACCATGACCCATGCCCACCCTCCAACCGACATTCAGCCAACGGGTCTGCTACCACACACACCACAGTTGCCCCAGGAGGATCCCGCTAAGGGGCCGCACTACGGGACTGATTCCATGCTCCCCAGAGTAGTCCAGGCTGGAGGCGCACCGTTGGGCGTGAGCCGTTTGCACATGGGCAATATATCCGGGATTTTATATTGCAAAAGTGACTTCGGGAAGTCTTCTGGAATATCAGCCAGATACGCTAGCCAGTCAGCGGTCGAATTTTCCCGTCGGTATGCAGGCCCTAAGAATCCAAGATTGATGATGCACTGGGGGCAGAGGACGACTTATGGTTTGAGCTTTGGCTTAGCGGTAACGACATGCTAACGCCGAGACAGGACAGCCTGCATATCAGGCTGATGTTTCGCGCGTCCTGCCCAGGGATCTGTGGTTCTGCAGGGCCACTACAACCGACAGGTTCGCTGCCGTAAATCCCAACACAACCTTTGGCAGCGGGCTCCACAGCCGTGCAGTGTGCCTTATCGCTGTTTCACAACGCCGGCGGGTTTCTGATAGACGGCCACTACACAAGACAAGACGTGTTCAAGATACACATTGCATTATGACATTGCTCCTATATCGCATCTTGCGTGTGCACGTCCCGGAGCTATACGGTGTTGATCCGGCAAAACGAGTCTAACAATGCTTGAGTCCCCAGATACTAGCTCGCTGGGCGAATAACAAGAGCTCCCGGTCGTGTACCCACAAGAAGATCTAGCCCCATATATACACACAGAGTAACGGGATAAAGAAAAGACTACGCGAGGCCTACCGTACCAAGTAGCTCTGGTCGCGCATCCCTATCCATGCTCGTCCCGCCAGTTTGATACGCCTAGCAAATGACGTGGAACCTTTGAATCTTCCCTCATGCGATGCCATTATCTCGCCGATGCACCAACCTGAGGCAAGCCCAGCTTGTGCCAGGCCACCGTTGATCGAAATGGGCCTTCTCAACAACTATATCAGACTCCACGCTCCCGTGGGGTGGGCTTCTGTTAGCTATTTCTTCCTCACTTCTTCCCGCTCCATTGCCACCATCCCCCATACTGCCAAAATTTTCTCGTAATGGCTCCCTCAGCTCTCGCAGATATCTATCCAATCCCAACGAGGCACTACTCCAAGTCCTCGACTGTCGTAGCTTCGGTCTTACATGGGCCAAGGGATTTGCGGCTCGTATGCCTTCCAATTTCGTTACACATCCCACGTCTACCCACTACTCGTGGGGGTTTTGGTGTATATTGAGCATCTAAACGTGAAGCTAACGAATCCAATTAGGAAACTCGTACCATTACGGATCCCGCCGCCAATGAACTCCAGATCGCTATCAAGGCCACTGGACTGTGCGGAAGCGATTGTTCCTACTACAGCAAGTTCTGCAACGGTGATCTGCAGGCTTGCGAGCCGTTGTCACTAGGCCATGAGTCTGCTGGGGTTGTGGTTGCCATCGGCGAGAGTGTTACCGGCTACCAGATTGGCGATCGTGTTGCTCTGGAGGTAGGTGTGCCGTGCGACAACTGCAGGTCATGCCAACGGGGACGCTACAATCTCTGCCCGAAGATGAGGTTTCGGAGTAGCGCCAAATCTGTGCCTCACTTCCAGGGGACGCTTCAGGAACGCATCAACCATCCAGCGAAATGGTGCCACAAGTATGTCGTGCATGATCGACCCGAAGCCGAACTTAGCTGACAACTTAAATCAGACTACCTTCGCATGTTTCCATGGAATCGGCTGCGCTTCTGGAGCCTCTTTCTGTTGCCATCCATGCAACAAGAAGAGCCCAGATCGAGCAGGGTGACACGGCCATTGTTTTTGGCGCAGGCACAGTCGGCCTTCTGACAGCTGCGATGGCCAAGGTGTCTGGCGCCACAACCGTTGTCATCGCAGACATCGACTATGGACGAATCAACTACGCCTTGGCGAACGGCTTCGCCCACAAGGGCTATATCGTGACCCCGCAGAAACATGGCAACGAGACTGCTGAGAAGTTCGCCGTAGCCAAGGAGTTGGCTGCCGATGTTATGCAGATTGCATCCCAGAACGAGCCAGACTTTGAAGGTGCTGATGTCACCTTTGACTGCACTGGAAAGGAAATCTGCATGCAAGCTGGACTATACGTAAGTCTCTCCCGGAAACAATCGCAAACCTAATCCTGATTTCTCGTAGGCGACAAGGCCTGGCGGCAAGCTCATCATGGTCGGAATGGGTACGCCAGTTCAGACACTACCCATGTCAGCATCTCATCTGAAGGAGGTCGACATCATTGGCATCTTCCGCTACGCCAACACCTACCCCACTGGTATCAAGATCCTGTCTGCCGGTGTACTTCCGAGTCTTGACAACATGATCACTCACAGGTTCCATGGGTTGACGTCGACAAAGGAAGCTTTCGAGCTCGCCGGCAAGACGGTCGACAAAGACGGCAAGCTTGTTCTCAAAGTCCTCGTCGAGATGTAAAGAAGCGAACGGCCCACGAAACCACTAATATGTACATTGAATTGTGTGGCATTCATAACGACGTGATAGAAACAACATAGAGAGATCGTCCGAAAGGCGGCGACCGCGGTCAGGCGTTTTGAAAGTCTGGAGCAAGACTAAGATACCATTCGCTTTTGGGTTGGATTGGATTTGGAGTTATGGAGTGTATTTGGCGATTGACGCAAAGATCTGGAGGCTAGGCCCGACCATGAATGATAATGCCATGATCGTACTCCGATGATAAACGCTCGCTTCGGTTCGTGATCCTTAATTTTGAAGTCTAAGAAAGAGGAGTGTAGTGAAAGCTGGATGATGACGGATCTTTCCCGTAGAAAGCGTGTCGCGCTGGAGTCGCGTTGACACTAGCGCTGAACGGGTAGCGCCTTGGCACAACCCCACGAATTGTGGCAGCTGCAGCCTAAGCAAGCTCCCCACCAAGACCATATCATTGCAATTGCCTTGCTGCTCGACTACCACTCCGACCTCCTACCACGATCTCGACCATCGTGAATCTCCCGGACGCGACATCAAACTACACTGCAGCAAATATGGTCGAATCATCAGGGAATCCACTCGTTTCGACTACCCGCGCCTCTGACGCAAGTCCAACAGTACAACTTCACCCGCTGGTACTCCTCACAATAACAGACTGTGTAACACGGCACACACTACGACAGCAGACAGGACCAGTAGTCGGAGCCATACTAGGCGCGCAAGATGGTCAGAATATCACGATGGAGGTTGCTTTCCAAGCAAAGCTCCTATCAAACCAAGACGGAGAGACGGTACTACACGACGAGTGGTTCAGCAAGCGTATCGAAGACTGTAAGTTTGTCTATACCTCCCGTATTCACATCCGAACGAAGCTTACGTTACTGTAGTCAAGGATGTACACAAGGAGCCACAATTAGACATTGTAGGCTGGTTTACCCTCGGTCCCGCCTCCGGTCCAGAACCTCACATCCTTCCTATCCATTCGCGCATATCCGAAGTCTACACCGAGTCTCCGCTACTCGTACTCTTCCATCCAGAAAATGCTTTCTCCAAAGAAACCGCTGCCGGAAAGCTGCCTCTTACCGTCTACGAGTCCTTGTCCGTCAATACAACGAGCGATCCGAATGATAAGGCTATGGATATCGACGGGGCCGTACAGGCAAAATCTACAAAGTTCAGAGAGCTAGTATACTCGATTGAGACTGGCGAGGCGGAAATGATCTCTGTCGATTTCGTCGCGCGGGGTGGTGGCAACGCTACTGCAGTGGAAGGCACAGCAAACGTGGCCGGTGCAGCGCCGGAGCCCTCAAGAACCGATGAGGTTACTGGGAAGCGGAATACACGAGGGAAGCAAAAGGAGAAGGAGAAGGAGAAAGAAAAGGATGCGCCAATCGATGAGTCAGTCATCTTGAATGCAGACGACGAAGAAGGTAGGTTCAGCCGCCCAAAAGCTTTACTTGGTACAGAAATACTAACCTTTGTCCAGTTCTCTCTTCGCTTACAGCCAAGATGAACGCCATTCGCATGCTGAGCCGACGAATCATGCTCCTGCGCGCATACATCGACTCGCTCCCAGCATCGTACCTCTCCGACCCTTCCCTACCAGTCAACGCCGCGCCAGACGCGCAACATCCCCTACCTCTAGACCACTCGATTCTCCGCAGTGTATCCGCCATGCTCGCCCGCTTGAATATCCTCGGCCCGCCAGACTCAGCCGCTTTCTCGCTTGAGTCTCAGCAAGAAGCATCAGATGTGCAACTAGTCAACCTGCTATCGTCCATTACAAACTCTGTATCCCTGGCAAAGGATCTCGGCCGGAAGAGCTCCATTGTGGAGCATGCCAAGACCCAGGGCAAGAACCGCATGGGCGGGTATGGCGGAGGTGGCAACTACGGCGGCGACGCCAATTTCTTCAATACTGTCATGAGCGGAGATTCTGGTGGCGACAGGTGGTGATCCCTGCCGATCCACCAGCATGAATGAACGGGTACGTTGGAGTCTACATTAGTCTAGAAACGAATATCCTGAGCTAACGCAGGCTTCTAGGTTATTTACGTTGCTGATGGTGCTCTAGATCGGCAAGGCGACGGAGCGTATGCGCGATGACTGACGGCCGTCATCCCCATGCGCTGTTCGATCCAGACGATATTCCCGACGAATTTGACTGGGACTTTGTCAACCAATGGTATTATGCCGTGTTCGCGATTCTCAGCATGGGGCCAGCTTATCTGCTCTTGATTATAGTGAGCCCGATCATGTTCCCACTAAGCATACTGGGGCTATGTTACTGGACAGGGTGGAGGACGTATCGGATCGTACGCAGATTGGGTCTGGCGACCTTGCACATGCTGGGGGCTGTTTTACACGCTTTACGTGATCTGATGCGTTTAGCTCAGCGATGAGATTTATGCATAGCGTTCGGCGCATGGGTGGGATTTGATAGACATGGCTATGAATGGCAGTGCGTAATTGACCTGCCGATATATGAGTAATGAAGAAAGGTACATCCATTCACACCAATATCCAGAGCTTTGTGGCGCCTTGACCAAGGGATATTCCGACACCCTGAATCCTACATTGACGCTAGAGGTTTCTGATCTGCTTATTTTGTCCTGATGTAGGCTACAGACCTGTTCAGCATTAGATGCCAGTACTACGTGGCCCACCTCGTGCTGAGTTCTGAACACCTTCAACTCCCAATGCATCAGCCCCTGACTGTTGCACCCTTACTGAAACCACCCGTTCCCTCTTCCTCTTGTTCTCACCATCTGGGGATCAGCAATAAATCTCCCCTCTGGTCCCTCAAATGCCCTCGCCTCGAATCGCGAAATAAGGAGCAAGTCACTGTAGTACTTGTTCTTATTAGCATCTTCTTGCAGTCGCTTCTTGAGGAACTTGCGTTGTTTGTTGTAAGCTGTGCGTGTTGAGTTGGGACTTGGTGGTGTTGTGGGCCGAACAGGCGTTGATGGTGGAGTATGGACGTCTGAGGAACCATCCACCCACATGTGAGGTGACTTAGTCGGCGTGCAAGGGGCCGAAGGCGCTGAAGTATTGTGAGAGATCTCGAGGCTGCGAAGGATCACGTTCACGTTGTCTATCCTGGAGTCTGATTGTCTTTGTGGCTCCTTAGACTCATTAACGACAACCCAGAATGCGGCGAGTATGAGTTCTTTCTGCTTCTTCGCATGTTTATGTTCCATACTGAGACCATCCATGCTGATTTTCGAAAGCGTGGAGGACGCCGAGGCTTCCGGCCCCCATGCGATGAGATCGTTGTCACCGATCTGTGACGTAGTGTTCTCTTCTTGAGATTTAGCAACGACGCGAATTTCGCCCTTCTCGCTATCGTCGTCGTTGGCATGTTCGCTATTGTCCCAGCTCCAACCATTCTGGTCGAAGTCTAAATCTCCGGCCGTGGGTTCCATCTCTTCTGGTGAAAAGTGGTTGAAGATCCAGCTTCCATCGTCGTCATCGAGTGGGTGCGAGTGATCGGTACTCACTGGGTGAATTGGATCGGTGCTCGCAATGTAGTCGCCATCGTAGTCGTTCGCATCCATTTCCGTCCAGTCCTTGTTGTGCTTCTTCGGATCGACGACGTCTTCCGGTCGTACTTCCTGGGTCAGGGGCGAGCGAGCCGTCTGATGATAGGTAATGCTTACCCGCGACACGCTTTTCTTAAAAGCGTGTGAGGGTATCTGCATGTTACGTGCATCCCAGGAAGCTACATAGTACTGCTCTTCAAGCTCCTTGACTAGAGCAGTGATGTCCTGCACTCCATGCATCTGCTTCTCGGTTAATTTGATTAAGAACGCTCTCGCCCGCCCTAGCTTGCACTCCCAGTTGCTTTCCCACAATTTGTGCTCGCAGGGACTGCAGTCGGTCTGAACATATACAGTGAGGAAGGATTCGGCAGTACAAGCAGCTCGTATGCTAGTTCTCGTCATCTTGTGTTTAGTACCCTTGCAGCGCGATCTTCGTAAACGTAGTAGATGCTGGCATTCGAAGAAGAAGTGAATGACGTTGCACATGGTAGGCGAGTATTGTGACTGAAGATGGAGCCTTGACTTCGTGTATGAATGAGTTGAGTTGGAGATCCTTGTGGATGTATCATTTAGAACGGCATAATGATGGAGATGTTCTGGCGGGGAAGATAGAACTTGCACAGCTCGGTGTTAGCTCCTTGCACAATCATGTTGGACGCATGGCTCTCACAGAGTCGGTCGTGGTATGTCGTCAAATCCAACGGGAGCTGCACAGCGATGGTGTATGTGATGCGCCGCCGATTCCGAACTAGGTAGTTTGCAGTGGCCACTCGATCGTGGTAGTTGCCTTCATCATCGAGAGTAGGTACGGTCGTAACCTCCACACGAAAGCTTGTTGTGTACTCAATCAGCAGTCGGTGTGCGTCTGCAGTCGTGTGATGTTGCTTTGAGGCAGGCGGTCAGTTGTATAGTGTTGCCATAGCTACCACTCAGACACCTCACCAACGTGTGCCTCGAATCGACGTGGAAAATCGGGGACCTTCAGGTAAAGGTGAGGGCGTTGCTGATATGCAGTCAGTCGCTGTCTCGAAGTGACGCCGGCTTCCATACCCATATTGACGGCCAGTAGGATGTAGTGCACACATGTGGCTGGAGATGGACGCTTGCGTGGTTGTTGAACGCAGGTAGGTGTCCAGATCGTAGTCATGGAAGGAGCGCCCAGTCTAACGCAACACATCATTGGTAGTCACGTGTATAGCGCCAACCGACAACTTGGCCTCTTCTCATGCCTGAAATAAAGATGGAGCGCGGACGTCATGCAATTCTGACACTGCAAGCATCGCCATCATGCACTGGCTGTGAAAAACACCAGAAATCTCATTCTATTACCACAATCCTATACCATTATGCAAGAAGAAAAGAAAATGCATCGTACTGATGACGGCGCAGCCGCATATACAACTCCCTAAGAAACCCCCGAGAAGAAATGAAAAGTGGCGTTGCGTCGTTGCACATTACGCGTGAGCGTCATTACATGTATACAGATATCCCAATTGGGCATATGACCCATCCAAAACGGAAGGTACGACCCTGACTGAGACCCAGACGGCGAAGAAGGGAAATTAGTAGCGCACCACGGGTGACGCGCTCGTGCTGCCGTCCTGCACCATAACACCTTCCCTGACACCCTCCTTCTCCATCTTGTGCATCCAGTCCTCTTTCTTGTCCTTCTTGTGCATCCAGCCGCTAAAGATCTTCTTCAGTTTGGACTTTTGCTCTTCCCGGCCTGGGGTCTTGGGCTCGTTGGAAAGGGTCTTCCGGGCCGTGGTATCCAAACTCATCTTACGAGAGAAGGTGGAGGCCTCGGCACTCTGGTTGCTGGCAGAGTTGCTATCTCCGCTTCGTTGGCGAGTGTGATTGCTGGAGCCTACTTCGAGGCGCTGATCTAGATTACTAGTAGAGGACCAGCCGGTCATCGTGTTTCCGGGGTGTGTTGGGCTACCTGGATTGGTCCTTGTGGGCTGTGGAATGGCCTTGGTCTCCTGTTTGCGAGACGACTTCCGAGCAGGGAACGAATCGTTGAATTGCATGGCCAACGTATCAGATCCGCTCTTCCTGTGTTTCTTCGCGGCGGGAGAGCGCTCCTGGTGCTGTTCCTGAGAGCGCATCATGCTTGCAATGTGCGTTGCGGCGGTTGGCGATGTGGGAGATTTCATCGATACTGTTATTTCCTCCTGAGGAGATTCTTGGTGGTCCTTCCATGTGTCCAGACCTGGTAGTGGGGGTAGCTCTCTGTTCAAATTGAGGCCGTTGGACTCTGACTTCCTGGGCTGAGCTTCCTCCGGTTTTCCTTTCGAGGTTCCTGGTCTGCTGTTGCTTCTTGAACTCAAGCGGCGGGGTATGCCCCAGCTACGCCATCCTGAATTCGAGCCACTGCGTGAGAGACCCTGGTCGTCGTTGTCGGCTGCTGGACGAAGAGACTCTTTGGACTGCGCACGGCTCAGAGCCCGACTGCGAGAGCCTGGGAAGATGTATTCTTTAACGCTTTCCTTGACGCTGGCAGCACGACTGGGTGGCCGGACTGAAGTCGATGAGCGGCCACGGTGGCCCTCTGATGCTTCTTGCTGCCGCTTCTTCTCCAGCTCTCGACGCATCCATTCTGCGGCTTGTGCATCTGCAACTGCTGCAGGGTTATCGGATTGGTGGGATAGTCGGTTCATGCTCCTGCTGTAGGGTAAAGATGCTGAGGTGGGCACTGACGACGACATCTTGGCGTTGGCGAGGGTAGATGTGACTGCTACGGGAAGGGTCACGTCTTCGTCCGAGTCATTGTGGAAGACGTTCGATCGCGGTACGTCCATAGAAGTCTTGCCGTATGACCTTAGCTTCTCCTCCCTCTCTGCGTCCCGTTCGTCGAGCCATCCGAAGTCAGCTCGCTTGCGACTGCTATTCGCGCGTGCAGGCATATCTCCGTAGGTCCTTGCTCTTATCTCCTGGTCTGCCTTCGCGCGTGAGCGAGTCTTGGTGCTGGGTTTGCGCATCATGAATGACGTCGAAGTCGCTGCCAGCTCTGGAGGCGCGCCAGTGGGCATGCGGACAGCGACCTCAGTGGCCTGTGGTTTAGTCTCCTTCCGTCGGCCGAGGCCACCAAAGTCGAGCTTGGGGTCAGTGTTCTCCATGCCATGGTCGGACGGCTTGAAGTTCTGCAGGATTTCGCGACATGCTAGGCGCAATTCCAGGTCGGTATGTTCGTCGAGGACGCGGCGGTTGATGTAGGGCGATTGGTCGCATATGCTGTCTTTGGAGGTATGTCTCTTGTGTGACGAAGAGGGAGTCGGGTCCGGCGCGGGCTTGTCGGAGAGGTCTGGCTTGGAGGCAATCTTCTACATCGGCGGTGAGTTACTGTTGGGATGCGACTGCAGACAAAGGACTGGGGATGGAACGTACGACTGGCGCCAGATTGAAGGAAAACTTGCGTTGCTTCATGATTGATTAGAGTATGCTATATTAGGCCGAAGGAAGTATTTCGAGTAGAGTGCGGCTGCAGAGCGTGTATATGTGCTGCAAATGCGCGACGAGGAAATGGGTGCGCGCGCGGGAAGCCGGTAGAGTATGGTCGACTAGGAATGGCTAGACAAAGCTACTGGCGACTACTGCAAGCATGGGGGACCTTGGAGGATATGACGGAAGAATCGTGGTGATGCGCCGTGGGTTGGCCTGCATCGAATAGTGCAGTGCAGCGGGGCCAGGAGGGAAGAACTCCCAGGAAGTACGGGACAGGACGATAGGTATACTGCGCGTCGTGGTGTGCGCCGGCCCGACCAGGAGGTGTTGGAGTTTCAGAGTGGCAGCTAGCATTAGACAGGACGCAGCCGACCACCAGCCTGGAGTCTCGATGCCTCGTAGAATGATAAAGCAGCCAATCAGCCGAGTGGGCGCCTGAAGCCTCGACAGCGGCCAAATCTGCCACTCGTCAATCAAACCCTCTGTCGCCCACCCGCACGCGCCTCCTGAAGACGCCCAACAGCCACAGCCCGCCATGACCTGCCCTCGCAGTCCCTCCAGCCAGCCCTGGACATCGGCGGAAGGAGCGATCGTGTGCCCCTTCCCAGCAGAACCAGACTATCGAAACTTAGCGGCGCTGCGGCCCCACGAATAGCAGCCAAGAAGGGCCGCGGACATGAGCTCGATCCGGCGACCGCATTCCAGATCTCCATACACACGACCGCACTCCATTAAACACGAAGATGCTCCTTTTGCGCCCTGGCCTGCACTCAGCACGCCAATCGCGCTGCGTCCTTTGCTGACATTTTCCTGGCTCAGCGAACGACGGTTGGACATGCGGGGGCGAGTTTCACATCGTAAAACATTCGCCATTCACCCACCACTGCTGCCATGTCCACCGCTGCAATACTGTCCAACCTTTAATAGCAGGGGAGAGAGAAGCTTCCGCCGGCGAGAAGAAACTTCTGTCTGCCGACCCTGGCTGGAAACTTCCGTGAGAATATCCTGGGAATAACCCGACGGGCTATTGTTGTGTTGCCGTAGCGCACTGGCTTCAGGACAGGCCTCTAAACGGTCGCTTCATCCCTCCATTCCTTCTGCGTGAGCCCCCTCATCGTCATGGCATGCGTCATCCAAGCATTTCGTTTTGCGTTTCAGTGCTCCGTTATCATCGACGCTCAACCAAGCTCCAAGTTGCTCAGCCGTCTGGTTTATGTGCGGGTCCCCTCCATGAAGTGCGTCGGCTAAAACTACCAATACTCGCCGCCCAAGCTACCACAAGATTTGCTCAACTCTCACAAACCCTCGCGGCTTTGTCACTCGCTAGGCGCGCAGATCGCAGATCGCAGGTCCACCTGTTATTGTCACTAGGGACGGCATCGTGCGACCATGGTGCGAGATCAAAATAAGTCGACACTTAACCACTCCATCGGGTGGGTACATGAGCCTCCAATACCCTAGGCCGGCACCATCCAACGGCCTCACTACCAGTGGGTAAACACTGCGCGGACACGAATTTCCTCAGCAAGGCTCATTTGATGCCTTGTGCGATGCGTCTAAGCATGCGGCTACTGCTGCACGCTTTTCATCACGCACACAATCACGATTCGCGTCAACATTCCCTCAGAGTCTTGGTGTAAAACTTTCGATTCGACGAAATTGCGCGCCGATCCCAGTGATGTTGAAAGTTATTACTGCTGAATGCATGCTGCTCGCCTTGCTGGTA